CCATTTCCTGCTCATGTCAAACTGTTCGCGTGCAGACTCAAGAAGCGACGACGTTTAAAGTCTTCGAGTACCAGACGAGTTTGTTTACAACATTTATATCCAAAGTATAAATCGTTTATTCGTGTAAATAACGTTCCTTACTCCTTTTCGATCGTCAAAAAAAACATCTCTCCCGAATCGTCGCAGGACCCGTGAACGCGGATATGAAATTCAAAGCCTCCGGGATGTTGCGCGACGTTTCGCATTACGTTCCCATTGTTGGAATTCTTTACGTCACAACTCGATGGACACCGTTAATTAAACTCAATAAATAAACAAGCAAATTTAATCACCTTTCTCAACATGGAAGAGTCGAATATAGATCGACCGAGAGACGTACATTATTTTCGCGACACCCTGTATAGGTGGCGCCGGTCATGTGCAGACGCACGTGGATGCATGATGCACCGGATGTACCATTTTCAATCGCCTTCGTTGAGCCACCGGGTCAGTTTCGAACAGATCGAATGAAAGTACTGAGATTCACATGGTGCGAGAAAGAATGAATGACGAGAATGCAAACTGCGCCCATGACGGCGAGGAATATGCACAATTGTCACTGCTGCAACTCCCGGTGGAGGTTTGTATAAGAAAAGAAAACGTCGATTTTCTCGTATTTCGCGTACACGTGCACGAAATTCTTTTTCTTAATCGTCGCTATTATTTCATCCGTCAGGGCGCACATTATGAAACTCTTCAGAATGGATTCCGATCAGAATTATTCCATTTTCTTTAATAAACACAATAGAAATCTAGAAAAGAACTGAGCAATTCCGATCGGAATCCATTCCGAAATAGTTCTGCAATAAGTAGTCGCTTGTCGATGGAGTATAAAGTATGCTCCATCAGCGACGGTCAAATATACCTCTTTCGTTCTGTCTCCATCCTCCATCTCTTCCGGAAAATTATTCCATTTTCTCTATAATAAACACAATAAAAATCTAGAACAGAACTAAATCATTCCGAAATAGTTCCGCAGTAAGTGCGCAGTATTATAGTCACTTGTCGACGTAGTAAAATATGCTCACATTGCTTACTCAGCGACAGTTAACTCTCTCTTTCGTTCTGTCTCCGTCTCTTTTGGAACATTTGTTTGGTTGTGCGTTTAATTATTTTGTTGGACTGCATTTCAGATGTTCCTGCATATATGTTCTTTCCTAGATGCGTCGACGCTACACGGTTTAAGCTTAGTGTGCAAACAGTTCTACCTGATTTTAAAGGATGCAGACTCACTGTGGAAAGCGCGAATTGACCACATATGGCCGAATGCTACCCACTCGCTTTTGCGTTCCGGTTAGCTCAAATTTATAGCACCTTACGCCTTGCACGATTAAATATTTTTATGAATAAATAAAACACTCTGTAAGTCATTTTACGCCAGCGCTGCTCGAACTTGCATATCCAGGTCGTTGCTTACATCGCGTTATTAATTTTATTTCGTACTATTTTATTCCTTGAGAAGAATAAGCGTGTTCTACAAAATATTATACATTTCTTATTTATAATAAATCGCATGGGGCATCTCCATTTATTGTAATAACTTTATATGCATAAAGTAAAAACGTGAATAGATTTGTATCTCAAAAATGTGCTTGTATTTTATTTGTGCTTAAATAAATGTATGTATATGCATTCTTTTTGCACTCAATATTATAATACGAATAAGCAGCTTTCGTCATATTTCTTAGATATAAGAAGTCACGTGTCATTACAGCGAAACCCGACAAACTGTTTTGGATGTCGTCATGCGTTGCGATCGAGAAACAAATAGCGCTATGGAAACAGCAGGATTCTATGGTGAAATTGAGAAAAATAAACCCACAATCCATCCGTCCTGTGTTACTGATGCATGTAGGTAGTATATATTATGCCAAGTGTCTTTGGCCATCTCTCCTAGTGAAAAACGTTATAATGATGATTCTCGTTTTCAGGATGCAACCGCCTGTGTTGGCGCAACACGGAAAATTTTGTTTTACTCGAAACTGCCCTCCCGCGAGGAATGCTCTGATGAAATCCGGGACATCAGAGGCATCGATTCCGGGCATTACGACAATATCTGTGATCTGACGGCGATAGACAACACGATCTACAGTTGCTGCGGTGACAGTGTGAAGTCGTGGATGCTCACCAACACCGGTCTCGTCCATCAGAGAACCTACGACGACATGTATGCGGTAGCAAAACTTTTCCTTTCGGCAGCTTCGCGATAAGAAGACCGAGCGAGAAAGATAATTCCTGTTTGTGAGAGAAATAATCGTTTTCCTTTAAATTATTCAAATGCAGATATCTGTGTCTTGCTTGTCCAGACAGATAATTCAGAAATGTGATTCTAAAATTTACTCGTTAAACCGTATACCTTGCATAATACCATTTCGTGCGTATCAGTTTTCATTAACGTTAAATACATATATTACAGACGAATGCTATATAGTTGGACGTGTGTGTCATCGTGTCCGGAGCGGGGCCTCTTTGCGATCGGCTCAAACTACGAAATATACGTGTTCGATTCGAGAGAGATTAATAAGCCGATCAACCAGTACCGACCCAACAATACTACGATGACTGCGCTAATAGCCATGAACACGGAATACATCCTGTCCGCTAGCTATGACGGGATGGTATCCGTTTGGGATCAGAGAGCCGGTCGGATCATGAATTCTATCACAGTAATTTCATCCCGTACTTTTAACATGGAGAGAAACGAGACCCGATTACGATGTCTAAGGTGTGCTTCTTAGATTCCAGGTGAAAGAGCGTATCCCATATGCGTGAGTATGCGACGGGATAATTGGGTTTGCGTCGGGGACTCCAAGGCGAAGTTGCACATGCTAGATCCAAAGAACGATTTTGAGCTAGTGAAATCTTATTCCACCGAGCATACGAACGGGATAACGGGGGTGCGTCTGATGCACGGATGCTTGATAACGAGTTCCCTAGACGGCACCGTCAGAATTTCGAGCCTTACGGATCCGCCAAGGCCCATCGCTACTTTACGT